ATGAAGTGGATGAGGTGGTGGTTGAGGTGGGTGATGACGACGAATCATAAGGATATAGGAACGATGTATTTAATATATGGGTGTTGGATGGGGTTGATGGGAGCGGGGATATCGATGATAATGAGGATGGAGTTGAGTAATGTGGGGAGTAGTGTATTGGGAGGGAATGGTCAGTTGTATAATGTGTTGGTGACGGGTCATGGAGTAATAATGTTATTGATGGTGGTGATGCCAGTAATGTTTGGAGGGTATGGGAATTGGTGGGTGCCGATAATGATAGGAGCGGGAGAGATGGCGTTTCCGAGGTTGAATAATGTGAGTTTTTGGATGATGCCGGTGAGTACGGTGTTGTTGGTGATGTCGATGTTAGTGGAGGGAGGAGCAGGAACGGGATGGACGGTATATCCACCATTGAGTGGGTTAGTGGGGCATAGTGGAGGAGGAGTGGATTTGGCGATAGTGAGTTTACATGTGACGGGATTATCGACGATATTGGGAGGGATAAATATGTTAAGTACGATAAGTAATATGAGGAATGAGGTGATGGAGTTGGAGAGGATGCCGTTGTTTGTGTGGTGTGTGGGAATGACGGGAGTGTTGGGGATGTTAGTGATGCCGGTGTTGGCGGGAGGGATAACGATGTTGTTGACGGATAGGAATATGGGAACGAGTTTTTATAGTGCAGAAGGAGGAGGAGATGCGGTGTTGTATGAGCATTTATTTTGGTTCTTTGGGCATCCGGAGGTATACATGTTGATATTGCCTGGGTTTGGGATAATAAGTCAGGTAATAAGTGAGTATAGTAGGAAGGAGATATTTGGGTATATAGGGATGGTATATGCGATAATAGGGATAGGAGTAGTGGGGAGTGTGGTGTGGGCGCATCATATGTTTACGTCAGGGATGGATGTGGATACGAAAGGATATTTTATGGCGGCGAGTATGATAATAGCGATACCGACGGGGATAAAGGTGTTTAGTTGGTTGGGAACGATGTGGGAAGGAAGGATAGTGTGGAGTGTGAGTATGAAGTTTGCGAGTGGGTTTGTGGTGTTGTTTGTGATAGGAGGATTAACGGGGTTGATAGTGTCGAATGCGGGATTGGACATAGCGATGCATGATACGTATTATGTGGTAGCGCATTTCCATTATGTGTTGTCGATGGGAGCGTTGTTTGCGATATATGCGGGATATTATTATTGGACGGGTAAGATGACGGGAGTGGAGTATAGTGAGGAAGGAGGAAAGATTCATTTTTGGAGTACGTTTATAGGAGTGAATGTAACGTTCTTCCCGATGCATTATTTGGGATTGGGAGGGATGCCAAGGAGGATAGGAGAATATGCGGATGGATATGAGGGATGGAATAGGGTGGCAAGTTATGGATCGATAATAACGATAATGTCGATGATATATTGGATGTGGTTGGTAGTGAAGAGTTGGGAGAAGGGTAAGGAGAGTGAGGTGGAGTGGGAAGGAAGGAGTATAGAATGGGGAATGAGGAGGATAGGTTATCATAATTGGAAGGAGGAGGTGATGTTAGTGAAGGGGATGGGGTAAGGCCGAGTAGGAGGAGGTAATGGAATTTGGATCCATGTGGTGGTGGTTCGAGTCCACCTACCCCAGAGGGGTAGAATGGAAAAGAGGAGAAAGAAGGAGGAGAGGCGTATGAGAGAAGGAAGAGGAAGTAGAAGATGTGTGGAGGTGTTAAGGAAGGAGATGAGTAATCATAGGAGAGGAGTAAGTAGGATAAGGTGGAGGGAGAGGATAAGGAGGGGAGAGGAGATAGGGATAAGTTAGGAGAAGAGATAAAGAGAGAGAAGAGAAAGAAGAGGAGAGAAGGAAAGAAAAGGGAGTAGAAGGAGTAAAGGGTGAGGAAAGAAGAGAGAAAGGAGAAGAAGAGAGAAAGAGGGAGAAAGAAGGAAAGAAAGGAAAAGAGAGAGTAAAGGAGGAAGAAGGAAAAGGAAGTGAAGAGAGAGGAAAAGGGAGAAAGAAGAGAGGAAAGAGGAGAAGAAGGAGAAAGAGAAGAGTTGTAAGAGAAGAGAGAGTAGAAGCAAAAGGAAGAAGCTGTTGCACTGTAAATGCAAAGGAGAAGTCCGGTTGTAGGTTCGAGTCCTACCTCTCTCAAGGTAGAAGGACGGGAAAAGATGGAGGGAATGATAATGGGTTATGTATATGGAAGAGGAAGTATAATGGAAGAGATAGGTAAGGAAGGAGTAAGGAAGGGGATGGGAGTGGGAAGTATATGGAGCAGTGTAGAGGGAGTAGGAGTGTTAGTAATAATAGGGATGGTGATAATAAGTGTGAAAAGGAGGGAGGAGTATAGGAAGGAAAGGAGAGTAATAAGTATGGTAGTAGTAAGTAGTAGAGGGATAATAGGAAGGAAAGAAGAGGAGGAGAGGGTAGAGGAGGTAAAGAAGCAGTTAAAGGAGGAGAAGGAGTGGTGGCATCCGGTGATGATGTTGATGGGGTATATAATACAGAGTATGGGTAACAAGGTGGGAGATGTGCGTAGGAGAAGGAGTAGAGAGAAGAGCATGATGGTAGTGAGTGTAGGAATAATAATAGGAGGTAGGTGGTCGATGGAGATAGAGGGGTGGGGAGGTTATTGGAATTGGGATGGAGTAGAGAAGGTGAGTATGATAGTGTGGATGATGATAGTGAGTGGAATACATAGTGGAAGGAGTAGGATGATAAATAGGGTAGAATGGAGTATGAGTATGTATATGAGTGAGAAGATAGGTAAGGGAGGAATAGAGAGTATTCATAGTTTTGTGGTAAGGAAGGGAGTAAGAGAGGAATGGGTGTGGTGGATAATGTGTAAAAGGAGGATAGAAGGAGGAGGAGGTAGTAAGGAAATAAGTAAGATGTTGATAGTAGGGATAATGGTAATGGTGAGTATAGGAGGAGAGGGAATGAAGAGTATAATGGTGGGGATGATGATGATGATGGTGAGGGTATATGGAGTGATAGGAGGGATAGTAGGAGGAGGAGAGGGATATGAAGGAAGGATAAGGGGAGGAATGATGGAGATAGTAAGAGAGGGAGGAATCCATGGGATAATAGGAGTAGGAATGATGATGTTAATGGGAAGAGAAAGGAGGAAAGAAGAGGAGGAAATGATAAATGTGGAAATAAGTGAGAGTGGAGTATGGAAGGGAGAGAAAAGAAAGAGGAGTGTAATAAAGGAAGAGATAAAGGGAGAGAGGGAGATAAGAGAATGGAGTGAGATAAGGATGGAAGAGGAGATGGTGATGATAGTGATATGTATGGTAGTCCATTGGAGCAATTTGAAGTGGTATCGCTGTATAAGATGGAGATAGAGGGAAGGGAGATAGGGATAAGTAATATAGGAGTATATATAATAATGATGAGTATAGTATGGGTAAAAAAGATGGAGAGGGAGATAAGGGTAAAAAAGGGGAGATGGGAATGGATAGGAGAGGAGTATTATAAGGTGATAGGAAGAATAGTAAAGGAGAATGTAGGAGAGGAGAGATATGTGAGGATGATATATGTGATAGGAGGGATAATAATAATGGGAAATATGAGTGGGATGGTGCCATATAGCTATACGGTAACGAGTCAGATAGGGATAAGTATGAGTATGAGTATGATGGTGTTTATAGGAGTGAATATAATAGGGATAAGGGAGAGGGGTAAGGAGTTGAGTAGTATATGGTGGCCGAGGGGAGTGGGGTATAAGATGTCGATGATGATAGTGGGGATAGAGATGATATCATATATGATGAAGGTGGTAACGTTGGGAGTGCGGTTAACAGCGAATATGTTATCGGGTCATACATTATTGGTGATAATAAGCAGTATGATAAGTAAGATATATAAGATGGGAGGAATGATGAGTATGATGGGAGTAATGGGAGGGATGATGATGTTGATGGTATTGATAGTGTTGGAGTTGGTGATAGGAGTGTTGCAGGGATATGTGTTTGTGTTGTTGAGTAGTATATATATAAGGGATGTAAGGGAGAGTCATTGAAGGAATGCCTCAGATGGATGTGGTGATAATAATAAATGAGATAATATGGTTGGGGATAGGGATAGGGATAGTGAATAGGGGAGTAGAAGAAGGGATGAAAGAGAAATATAGGAGTATGAGGAAGGAGGAAGAAAGGAAAGAGGAAGAAGGAAGAAAAGAGAGGAGGAGTAGGAGTGTGAAAAGAGAGGAAGTAGAGGAGGAGATGAGTAAAAGAAGGAGGGAGTTATGGTAGTAGGAGGAGTAATGATGCCGATAATAGGAGGAGTGATAGGGTTGGTAATGGGAAGGAAGATAGGAGGAGAAGGGAGTAGTAAGTTGAATATAAGGAGTATGAGAGTAAGTGTGGTGATGATAAGTATGGAGTTATATGAGGTGGTGATAAATGGAGTAAAGAAGGAAGTAAAGATATGGGAGTGGATGAGGGAAGGAGTAGAAAGGGTAGAATGTGGAGTAATAGAGGAGAGGGAGGTAGTAGAGATGATGTGGATGGTGGTAGTAGTAGGGAGTATAGTGGAAGAGTATAGTAGGTGGTATATGAAGGGAGAGGGAGAGAGGGTAAGGTTTATGAGTATAGTGAGTATATTTATAGGGAGTATGTTGATATTGGTAGGAAGTGAGAATATGTTGCAGATGTATATAGGATGGGAGGGGATAGGGATATGTTCATATATACTGATAAGTTATTGGAGTAGTAGGAGGGAGACGGGTAAGGCAGGTATGAAGGCGATGGTGATAAATAGGATAGGAGATATGGGTATAATGTTAGGGATAGGTAAGGGATATGTGAGTTATGGTAGTGTGTCATATGGAGTAATGAAGAGTGTGGTGATAGAGGAGGATAGGATAATGGGAATAATGATAATAATGGGAGTAATGACGAAGTCATCGCAGATGGGTATGCAGACATGGTTATCGGATGCGATGGAGGGTCCGACGCCAGTAAGTGCATTGATTCATGCGGCGACATTAGTGACAGCGGGAGTATATGTGGTGGTAAGGATGGAAGGGATAATAGGAGGTAAGGAGATAATGATAGGGATAGGAGGAGGGAGTATAGTATACATAGGTATGTTGGGAGTGTATGCGCAGGATATAAAGAAGATAATAGCGTATAGTACGGGAAGTCAGTTGGGATATATGGTGTTGAGTGTAGGAGTAGAGAGTAGTAATAATAGCATAAGTCATGTGGTGAATCATGGAATGGTGAAGGGTATGTTATTTATGAGTGCGGGAGGAATAATTCATAGCAGGAAGGAGGAGCAGGATATAAGGAAGATGGGAGGAGGAGTGATGAGTGTAAGTAAGATGGGAGTAATAATAGGGAGTATGGGGATAATGGGGATAGAGTATAGTAGTGTGTATGAGTCGAAGGAGGAGATAATAAGGGAGAGTAGTATGAGTAGATATGGAGAGATAAGTAGTGAGTTGGGAGTATGTATAACGAGTTATTATAGCATAAGGATGATAAAGAGGGTGGTAGTAAGTGAGGGTAAGAAGAGGAAAGAGGAGGAAGAAGAGGAAGGAATGAAGAGGAGTATAATGTGGATGAGTATAATAGGAGTGGTGATAGGTTATATGAAGAGGGAGTGGGAAAGGGAGGAATGGGAGGAGGAGATAGGGATAAAGGAGAAAGGAATGATGATAATAGGGATAGTGATGGGGATATGGAAAGAAAAGATAAAGGAGAGGAGGATAGGGAGATGGATAGGAAAGAAGTGGTATAATGAGGTATGGCAGAATAGGTGGATAGGAGGTAAGGTAGAGGAGATAGGAAGGGAGATAGTGGAGGGGATAGATAGGAAGATATTAGAGGAGTGTGGAAGGAAAGGGAGTAGAGAGGTAATGTCAGGAGTAGAAAGGGTAGTAAGGAGGAGAGGAAATGTGAGTAAATATGGGATAGGGATGGTGATAGGGATAATAATGTGGGGATGGAGTTGTGGATAGGAATGATAAGTCCATGGATAGGAGGGATAATGATAGGAATGAGTAAGAGGAGTGGAAGGAAGGGGATAATAAGTAGTGGGATAGTGTGGATAATAATGACAAGGGAGTTAGTAAAGAGGATGAGGGAGGAGAGGTTAGTGGAGAATAGGATGGAGAATATAGGATATGAGATAGGAGTAGATGGGATGTCGATAGGATTTATGTGGTTGAGTAGTGTGTTGATAAGTGTGAGTATAATAAGTGAGTATAAGAAGGAGAAGGGAAGTCAGGAGCAGTTATTGATAATGGAGGGGATATTGATGGAAGTATTTAGTGTAAGGGATATAATAGGGTTTTATATAAGTTATGAGGGAGTATTGATACCGATGATAATGATGGTAGGAAGAGGAGGGAGTAGGGAGAGAAGGATAAGAGCGGTGTATATGTTGATAATATATACGTTGGTAGGATCGATGATAATGTTGATGGGGATAATAGTGATGTATGTGAGTGTAGGAAGTAGTGGATATGAGGTGTTAATGAATGTGGAGTATAAGGAGGAGATAGGAGAGTGGTTGTGGTGGAGTATAATGATAAGCATGATGATAAAGATGCCGTTAATACCGTGTCATGTGTGGTTGCCGGAAGTGCATGCGGAGGCGCCGACGGTGGGGTCAGTGATGTTAGCAGGGATAATGTTAAAGATGGGAGGATATGGAATGTTAAGGATAGGGATAGGAATGTTAAGTGAAGAGAGTGTGTATAATAGTCCGGTGATATATACGATGAGTGTAATATCAGGGATATATGGAGGAATGAGTACGATAAGTCAGATAGATTGGAAGAAGATAATAGCGTATTCGTCGATAGTGCATATGGGAATGGTAGGAGTGGGGATGTATAGTATGAGGAGAGAGGGTTATAGTGGAAGTATAATGATGATGATAAGTCATGGGATAATATCATCGGGAATGTTTATGGTAGTGGGTATGATGTATGAGAGGTATAAGACGAGGGTGATAAAATATTATGGAGGGATGGAAGAGGGGATGCCGATAATGAGTAGGATAATGTGGATGTTATGTATGGGTAATATGGGAGTGCCGATGACGAGTGGGTATGTGTCAGAGATGTGGATAATGTGGGGTATAATGAGTGTAAGTAAGGAGATAGGAGTAATGATGAGTATAAGTATGATATTAACGGTGGTGTATACGATATGGATGTATAATAGAGTATATAAGGGAAGTAAAAAGGAGTATATAGGTAAGGAGATGGATATAAGTAGGAGGGAGTATAACAGTATAAGTCCATTGGTAGTGATAATGATAATAATGGGAGTGAAGCCAAGTATATGGAGTGAGGTATGGTAAGTGTGTATATAATAGGGATGAGCCTAGTGGAGATGATAGGAGTAATAAGGAGGAAAGAGCAGAGGATAAGGGAAGTAACGATATACAGTATGTTAATGGGAGGAATGATAGAGAAGGAGAGTGAAGAGGGGATGAAGGTATATAGGATGATAATGGAGGAGGAAGGGAGTAAAAGGGGAGTGATAGGAGTGATGATAATAGGAGGAATGATAATAATGCTAGGTAAAAGGAGGAGGGAGGAGGAGATAATAATAATGCAGATGAGTGAGGGATATAAGATGATGATGATAGGGAATGAGTGGATGATAGTATATATGGGGATGGAGTGGCAGTCGATGGGAATGTATAGTATAGGAATAGGAAGGGGGAAGAGTATAAAGGAGAGGGAGGCAGGGATAAAGTATATGATAGTGAGTGGGATAGCGGGAGGGATGTATTTAATGGGAGTAGTGAGGAATTATAAGGAGACGGGAAGTATGAAGATAATAGAGAGTGAATGGATAGGAGGAAGGAAGGGATGGATAATAGGGAGTGTAATGATGAAGATAGGAGTAGTGCCGATGCATATGTGGATAAGAGAGATATATGAGGGTATAAGTAAGAGGAGTATGGAAGTATATGCGGTATGGCCGAAGTGGAGTATAAGTAATATGTTATGTAGATGGGAAGTGGAATGGGGGAGATGGGTATGGGTGATAGTAGTGGTAGGGAGTATAATAGTGGGAAGTATAGGAGGATATGGAGAGGAGAGTATAAGGAGATGGATAGGGTATAGTACGATAAGTCAGATGGGGTATATGTTGATGGGGATGAGTATGGGAAATAAGGAGGAGAGTGTGGAGTATTATATAAGTGTGTATAGTATAATGATGATGGGGATATTAGGATGGTGGAGTGAGAAGAAAGAGAGGAGGATGAAGGAGTTAGTGGGAGAAGGAAAGAGGAATAGTGTAAAGAGTGGAGTGATGATGGTAGTGATGTATTCGATGATGGGGATGCCAGTGATGAGTGGATTTTGGAGTAAGTATAGGGTGATGATGGAGAGTGTGAGAAGTGGAGAGTATGGTATGGGGATAGTGGGAGTAATAGGAGGAGTAATAGGAGGATATTATTATGTGAAGATGATAGAGGTAATGTATTTTAAGGAGAAGAGGAGAGAGGAGAGGGGAGAGTTAGAAAAGAGGGAGGGGATAGGAGTAATGAGTATAATGGTGGTGTTAGTGATGTGGATGGGGATAGAAGAAAGGAATATAATATGAGAGAGGAGATGAAAGTGATAATAGAGGGAGTAAGTAAAGAGATAGTAATGTTGATACCGATGTTAATAGGAGTAGCATATATGACATTAGGAGAGAGGAAAGTATTGGGAGGAATGCAGAGAAGGAGAGGACCGAATAAGGTGTGGATAGAGGGAGTGGGTCAGCCGATAGCGGATGGGATAAAGTTGATGATAAAGGAGGGAGTGAAGCCGATGAGAGCGGAGGGAGTAATGTATAAGGCGGGTCCGGTAGTGACATGGATGTTAAGTATGTTAGGTTGGAGTGTAGTACCGATAGGAGAGGGAGAAGTGATAGTGGATATAGAAGTAGGGATAATAGTGTGGATGAGTATAGGATCATTGGGAGTATATGGAGTAATAATAGGAGGGTGGGGAAGTAGTTCGCAGTATAGTATAATGGGAGGATTGAGGAGTGGAGCGCAGATGGTATCATATGAGTTAGGGATGGGAGTAATGATGATATGTATAATAATAATAGGAGGAAGTGGGAATATAAGTAGGATAGTGGAAGTACAAGAGGGAGTGTGGAATATAAGCATAATGATGCCGGTAGTAGTGATGTACATGGGAGTGATATTGGCAGAGACGAGTAGGACGCCATTTGATTTGCCGGAAGCGGAGGCGGAGTTGGTAGCGGGGTATAATGTGGAATATGGAGGTATGGGATTTGGGATGTATTTTTTAGCGGAATATGGGAATATAATATTAATGAGTGTAGTGAGTAGTGTAATAATGATGGGAGGATGGAATAGTAAGTATATGAGAGGAGAGTTAGTAGTGGGAATAAAGAGTACGATAATAGTGTATGTGTATATATGGATAAGAGGGAGTTGGTGTAGGTATAGGTATGATCAGTTAATGAGGATAGGATGGAAGGGAGTAATAGTATATGTAGGAGGATATGTGATAGTAATGGGAAGTATAATGTGGAGTATAGGAGGAGTAAGTATATGAGGGAATATGAGATATTGATGATAGTAGGAGTGATAAGTATGTTAGTGGGAGTAATAGTATGGGAGATATGGGAGAGGGTGAGTAAAGAGAAGAAGGATAGGGAGAAAGAGAGTGCATATGAGTGTGGATTTAATCCATTTATGGAAGAGAGGAGTGGATATGAGATAAGGTATTATAGAGTGGGGATAATGTATATAATAATGGATGTGGAGATAAGTTACATGTATCCGTGGAGTATAGGAATGGGAGAAATAGGAAGGGAGGGAGTGATAGGAGGGATAATATTTATGATAATACTAGGGATAGGATATATATATGAATGGAAGAAGGGAGGGATAGAATGGGAGTGAGTATCAGCTTCTGGTGAGTCTCCTTAGTCAAAGGGAGAAGACATTGCCCTTTCGAGGCAAAGGTACGGGTTCGAGTCCCGTAGGGGACGAGCTGGAAGCGGAGAAGAGGAAGGGAAAAGCTCATCAGACTCATGATCTGAAGGAAGTAGGTTCGAGTCCTACCTCCGCAAGAGTAAGAAGGGAGAGAAAAGAGAAAGAAGAGATGAGTGGAGTAGTACAGGGAGCAAAGATGATGGGAGCAGGAATGGCGACGATAGGGTTAGCAGGAGTAGGAGCGGGAGTAGGGATAGTATTTGGGAGTTTGGTGAATGCATATGCAAGGAATCCGGTATTGAAGCAGCAGTTGTTTGGATATACGATATTAGGGTTTGCGTTGACAGAAGCGGTAGGGTTGTTTGCATTGATGATGAGTTTTTTGATACTGTTTTCATAAGTATAGGTAGAAACGAGAGAAAGAAGAGGGATAAAGGAGACAGAAGAGGAGTTATGAGAGAAAAGATGGAAGTGATAGAAGTGATAAGTGGAGTAGTGATGAATCATATGAAAGAGGGGATGGAAGAGATAAGGAAGGATTATATGAAAGAGGAGATAGTAGGAGAAGGGATAAGATGGATATATGTGGGTATAATAAGTGGGATAGTGATATGAGGAGGAGAAAGAAGAGGAAAGAGGTGTATGATGCAGGCAAAGAAGTGACGCAGTAGATCAGAGAGTAACACATGCGAGTGGAGAAGCGAACGGGTGAGTAAAGAGGTGTGAAGGAGTCGAGTAGGATGAAAGCACAGAGAGATGTAAGAGATGGGAAGAGAAAAGCCCATAAAGGAAGAAAAAGCGAGAATCTGAGAGGAGGAAAGCCACATTGGAACTGAGAGAAGGACCAAACGAGAAAAAGTCAGCAGTGGGGAAAATTGGGCAATGTACAGGAAAGTATGACCCAGTAATGAGGAGTGTAGAAGACAGAAGAGGAAGTAAAAGGAGGAAGAAAGAGGGAAGTTATGGCAAAAAGACGTGCCAGCAGCAGCGGTAAAACGTGTGTAGCAAGCGTAGAAAAGAGGGACTGGGTGTAAAGGTCGAGTAGTAGAGGAAGTGTAAGAGAGAAGGAAAGGAGAGAAGGAGGAGAGGGATGAAATGCGAGGATCTCAAGAGAAAGGCAAAGAAGAAAAGAAAGGGAGACACAGGAAATGAGGCGAGAAGGCATAGGAAGTGAAACGGATTAGGGACCCGTGTAGTCTATGCAGTAAAAGAAAGAATGAGAAAGAAGAAAGGGAGTCATTCCACCAGGGGAGTAAAGACGCAAGAAAGAAACCCAAAGCAATTGACGGGAATCGGAAAAAGGGGTGGATCACGTAAATTAATCCGATGTAAAACGGGAACCTTACCTATCCAAGAAGGTGTTGCACGGCTGTCGAAAGAGCGTGCTGTGAAGTGAGAAAACGTACGAGAGAGCCAAGAGAGGAAAAGAAGGCAAGTAGAGGGCGGCCCGAGAAAGGATAGGGCGTAAGACGTGAGACAGAGTAGGAAGCAAAGAGAAGAGAGAAGTAAAAAAGAAAAAGAAGAGAGAAAGGACTAGAAGAGGTACGGAGAGCACGAGGAAGAAGCGTGAAGGAAGGAGGAATCCCAAGTAATCGAGGAAGAGAAAGCTGCGGTGAAAGAGTGAACGGATTTTGTACACACTGCCCGTCAAGTTCTGGGAGTGTGCTAGGAATAAGCAAGAATAGTAGAAGAGAGAAAGAAAAGAAGAAAGGAAGTAAAGATGAAAAAAAGCGAAAAAAAAGCGTATGACTGGAATTAAGTCGTAACAAGGTAGGCGTAGGAGAACCTGTGGCTGAAGAGATGAGTGAGATAATATATGTGATAGGAGTAATAGGGATAATAATAAATAGGAGGAATATAATAATAATGATAATGAGTATGGAGATGATGTTAATGGGAGGGAATATAGGAATGTGTGAAGGATCGGTGGGGATGGGAGATATAATGGGAGAGAGTAGTGTGTTATTGGTATTGACAGTAGCGGCGTGTGAGGCGGGGATAGGGTTAAGTATGTTGATGTTGCAGTATAAGAGAGAGAAGAGTATAAGAGTAGAAGAGATGAATATAATGGAAGGAGAGTGGTGATGTATGGTATAATAGGAGTGATGATAATGATGACGTTAAGAGGAGGAGGAGTAATGGGAGTGCATGTGGGAATGTCATGGTTGGGGATAGTGAGTAGTGTAATAATGGGAGTAATGGGAGGGATATATGTGATAAGTAGGAATGAGAAGAGTATGGAGTGGATGGAGAGGATAAGAGGAGAGAGTAGGAAGTATGTGAGTATGAGTATAATAACGGGAATGATATGGAGTAAGGAGGTATGGGGAGAGTGGTGGATAAATGATGTAAGGAATATAAGTATGTTAGTGTGTTGGATATGGATAGAAGTGATAGGAGGAGTAAAGAAGGAATATAAGGGTATAATAGGATGGATGGGGATGATAAATATGCCAATAATAAAATATGGAGTAGAGTGGTGGAATACGATGCATCAGCCAGTAAGTGTGAGTGAATGGGGAGGGAGTATAGGAAGAGAGGAGATAAGAGAGATAGGTAAGGTGATAATAATAGGGATAATGGTGAGTATAGAGGTAATAAGGGACATGAGGAGGAGAGAGGCAAATACGGGAAAGCTGTGAAAGAAGAAAGAGAAAAGGAACAACTGAGTATCAGAAAGAAAAGAGGGAGTAAAGTAGAAGAGAAAGATCGAGAAAGAAAGAGAAAGAGAACGAGTAATGTGAATGAAAGCAGGAAAGTATTTGAAGAAGAGAGTGTAAAGTGCGTACCTTTTGCATAATGTCCCAGCGAGTGAGAAATAGGAAGCAAAAAGGAAGAAGAAGAAGTAGCCTAAGAAGACCCGAAGCTAGTTGATCTTGTGCGATCCAAGCGGTAAGGCTGAACCAGTGTCTGTGGAAAAAGACTTGGAAGAGATGGCATAAGGGGTGAAAGGTCAATCAAAGCTAGTGATAGCTGGTACTCCTCGAAAGCTATAGAAGTAGCGTATGCAAGGAGGAAGGAGAGGTAAGAGAAGGTAAAAGAGAGAAGGAAGAAGGCAGAGAGGGACTAGGAGCGAGAAGGTGTAAAGTCGAGAGGGAAAAAGCCCGGAAGCAAAGATAAGGTATCAAAGAAAAGAAAGAGGGAAAAGGAGAGGAAAGAGAGGGTAGGCTTAGAAGCAGCAAACCAGAGAGGAAGGCGTTAAAGCGTGAAGAAGAGAGGATCCGAAAAAGAAGAGAAAAAGGGAAGAAAGAGGACCGAATCAAGGAAGAGGGTAGAGGAGCAAAAAAGAGAAGAGAGAATGCTGGGTGGAGTAGCGAGACGAGAAGAAGGGAAGAGAAGGAAAGAAAGAGGAAAGGGTTACGAGAGAAGAGAGTAAAAAGAGGAGAGTGTAAGACGGCGTCATAATGTAAGAACCGAAAGGAGGAGAAGAAAAGAGAGAGAAGAAGGAGAAAAGAAGAGGGAAGCCGTACCGAAGACCGACACAGGTACTCGAGGAGAAAGAAGACCCAAAAGGAGGTGAGAGAAAGCACGATAAGGAACTAGGCAAAAGGATATGGTAACTGAGGAAGAACATATGAAAGAAGCTGCACCGACTGTTTAACAAAAACAAAGCACTCTGCAGGAAAGAGAGAATGGTAAGTATAGAGTGTGCGGCCTGCCAAATAGTAGAGAAGAAATAGATGAAAGTGAGTAAAGCGAGTAGTGTATGAGGTATAGAGAATGGCGGTCCTAACTGTAAGGATCCAAAGGTAGCGAAGTAAATAGGCGTTTGAAAGGCGTCAGGTATGAAAGGAGAAACGAGTGTGGCACTGTCTAGTCGTGTTACTCAGCGAAACAGCAATAACTGTGAAAATGCAGTAAGAAAGCAGTAGGACGGAAAGACCCCATAATTCTTGACTAGATAGGTATAGGGAGGAGAGAGAATCATGAAGAAGAGGAGGTGGGGTAAGAGAGTGAAAGACCACTGCATGAGGAGAAGGAATCTGACTGAGAAAGGAAAATAGGCTTAGGCTAGTTTGGCTGGGGAAGTAAAGCCTAAGAAAGAGTAAATTAGGCAAGCAAAGGCATGAGAGAAGTATAATAGCGGTAAGCATGCTTGAAGAAAGAAGAAAGAGATTTCGAAGAGGGAGTAACGAACTCAGCTATAGGGAACAGGTGAAAGAAGAGAAGAGCACCGAACGATCGAAGAAGAAACTTTGGGGGTAACAGGTTAATGTGGTGTTAGAGAACGTATCAAGCACCACGATTGACACCTCGATGTCGGTTCATCACATCCTAGGGCAGAAGAGGGTTCTAAGGGTTTGGCTGTTCGCCAATGAAAGTGGTACGTGAACTGGGTTCAGAACGTCGTGAGACAGTTCGGTCCCTATCCGCTGCAAGAAGGAGAGAGGAAAAGCTAAGCGATTACTGGTACGAGAGGAACGTAATGGGTTGACCAAGTGTGAGGAGCAAAGTCAATGTAGCAAGAAGAGAAGAGGCGAAGGCAATAGCGAAGAAATCTAGAGGAAGGAAGCTGTAAGAAGAAGAGAAGGATCGGCAGGAGATGTACGAAAGAAGAAAGAATCATGTAAAGAATGAAAAGGGCAAGAGTAGGGAGTGTAACGTTGTACAGAGGAGAAAGGAATTCGATAGGATCGATAATGAATAGGATAGGAGTAATAGTGGTGAGTATGATAATGATAATAGGAGAAGTGTGTAGAAGAGAGGAGATAGGAGTGATAGGAGTGAGAGAGATAAAGATAGTGATGATGATAGGAATAATAAATCATGTGATAAGAGAGGTAAGTAAGAGATGTTGGGAGTATATGAGGTAATAGGAGGGATAGGAGTAATAAGTGGGATAGGAGTAATAATGAAGAAGAAGGGAGTGGAGTCGGTGGTGTATATGATAATAAGTTTTGTGAATATAGCGATATGGTTGATGAGGATAGGAGTGGAGTATGTGGGATGGATAATAATGTTGGTGTACATAGGAGCGATAGCGGTGTTATTTATGTTTGTAGTAATGATGTTGGAGATAAGGGAGGAAGAGAGGGGAAGGGAGTATAAGGGAATGATGGTAATAGTGGGGATGGGAGTGGGAGTAGTAATAGGAGGAAGGGTATGGATGGAAGAGGAAGGAAGAGAGTGGATAGAGAGGAAGGAGAAGATAGGGAATGTGATGGTAATAAGTAAGGTGATGTATGGAGAGAAGATGATAGGGATAATAGAATGTGGAATGATGTTAATGTTAGGGATGATAGCAGTGATAATGATGGTAGAGGGAGGAGAGAGGAAGAAGGAGGAAGTAAGGGAGCAGGAGTTAAGAAGATGGGAGGAGGTGATAAGAAGAAAGGAATGAGGATTCGAGAAGAGCGAGAGAAGGAAGAAAGAGGAGGAAGAAGGAGAAATAGAGGAGAGTAGAGAAGAGGCCGAGAGAGAGGAAAGGAGATTCGACAGGCATAGCGCCAATCCAGGTAAGAAGGAAGAAGGAAGCGAGGAAGAGGAAGAAGAAGAAGCGGAAGAGAGGGCGGAAGAGGGAGCTGCGAGAGGAGAAGCTATGTATCCAAGGAAGGAGAGCGAGGACGGCGATAGAGGAGATCATGATGAGGACGCCAGCGAGTTTATGAGGGATACTGCGTAGGATGGCATAGAAGGGAAGGAAGTACCATTCGGGAACGATGTGAGGAGGAGTAAGCATAGGATTAGCGAGGATGTAGTTATCAGGATGAGCGAGGGAGTTAGGAGAGAAGAAGAGAAGGAAGGAGAAGAAGAGGAGAAGGAGAAGGAGGCCGAGGAAGTCTTTGAGGAGGAAGTAAGGAGAGAGAGGGATTTTAGAGAAGGAGGAATCGAGACCGAGAGGATTACCGGAAGAGGAGTGGTGTAGAGCGATCATGTGAAGAAGGGAGAGAGCGAATAAGAGGAAGGGAAGAAGGAAGTGAAGAGAGAAGAAGCGGTGTAGAGTAGGATTGTCGACAGAGAAGCCGCCCCAGATCCAGGTGACAAGAGAGTGTCCAAAGAGGGGGAAAGCGGAGAGGAGGTTAGTGATGACGGTAGCGCCCCAGAGGCTCATTTGTCCCCAAGGAAGGACATAACCGATGAAAGCGGTAAGGATGGAGAAGAAGAAGAGGAGGACGCCAAAGATCCAGGTCCAGTGTCGAGGAGGAGAGTAGGAGGAGTAATAGAGATTACGGAAGAGGTGTAAGTAGAGAAGGATAAAGAAGAGGGAAGCGCCGTTGAGGTGAGAGTAGCGTAGAAGCCAGCCAAAGGGGACATCGCGCATGATGTGTTCGACGCTATGGAAGGCGAAGAGGATATGAGGAGTGTAGTGCATAGCAAGGAAGAGTCCAGAGAAGATTTGAAGAGCGAGAGCGAAGAAGAGGAGGAAGCCGAAGTTCCAGGCATAATGTATGTTGAGAGGGGTAGGGTAGTCGACAAGGTGCTGAGGAAGCAGTTGTAGAAGAGGTCGTTTGAAGAAGGATTTCAAGGCCTAGTAGGTTGGTTCGAGTCCAAGGGAGGTAGAGTAAGAAGGAGGAAGAGAAAAGAGAAGAAGGGAATGATAAGAAATGATGCACCGGTGAGATGGGGGTTGGGGTTTCAGGATCCAGCGACTCCGGTAATGGAAGGAATCGTTAATCTGCACCATGAAATAATGTATGTAATGATAGGGGTGTTGTGTATGGTGATATATATATTAATGAGGATAATATATAATTATGATTATAGGAGGAATAGAGAGGTAAGGAAAGAGAAGAGAGGAGCATTGATAGAAGCGATATGGACGTTGACGCCGACGGTAATATTGATAATAATAGCGGTGCCATCGTATGCGTTATTATATGCGATGGAGGAGGAGGTGAGTCCAGGAGTGACGGTGAAGATAATAGGGCATCAGTGGTATTGGAGTTATGAGTATTCAGATTATGGAGAAGAGGGGATAAGTTATGATTCATATATGATAGGAGAGGAGGAATTGGAAGAGGGAGATTTAAGGATGTTAGAAGTGGATAATAGGATGGTATTGCCGATAAAGACGCATATAAGGTTGTTGTTGACGTCGACGGATGTGATTCATAGTTGGGCAGTGCCATCATTGGGAGTGAAGTGTGATACGGTACCAGGAAGATTGAGTCAGGTAGGAGTGTACATAAAGAGGGAGGGAGTGTATTATGGTCAGTGTTCGGAATTGTGTGGTATGAATCATGCATATATGCCGATAGTAGTGGAGGGAGTAAAGGTGGAGGGATATAAGGAGTGGATAAAGAGTAAGATATAAGAGATGGAGAAGGAGAGAAGGATAAGTGAGTATCATATGGTGGATGTGAGTCCGTGGCCAGTGATGTCAGTGATAGCATTGATGGGAGTATTAATAGGGATGATAGAGTGGATGCATGGAATGGGAGGAAGGATATTAGTGATGGGAGTGATAAGTATGTTGATGAGTATGTATGGGTGGTGGAGGGATGTAATAAGGGAGGGAGTATTAGAGGGGAGTCATACGGGTAAGGTGCAGGAGGGGTTAAGGAAAGGAGTGTTGTGGTTTATATTTACGGAGAGTATGTTGTTTGTGTCGATATTTTGGGCATATTATCACAGTAGTTTAAGTCCGTCGGTAGAGTTAGGAGGAGTATGGCCGCCGAGAGGGATAAGGGTAGTAGAGGCATGGGAGTTGCCGATGTTGAATACGTTGTTGTTATTAATGAGTGGAGTAACGGTGACATGGAGTCATGAGAGTATGAGGAGTGGAGAGAAGGAGGAGATGGAGAAGGGATTGGGGATAACGATAATATTGGGGATAGTGTTTTTGATGATACAGGGATATGAGTATTATGAGTCAGAGTTTAGGATAACGGATGGAGTATATGGAAGTAGTTTTTATATGGGGACGGGGTTTCATGGGATGCATGTGTTAGTGGGAGTGATAATGTTATCGATGGGATTAATAAGGAGTATAAGGGGAGAGTTGACGAGTGAGCATCATGTGGGATTGGAAGCGGGGATATGGTATTGGCACTTTGTGGATGTGGTATGGTTATTCTTGTTTGTGAGTATATATTGGTGGGGAGGTGTATAAGAGATATAGGAAGTGGAGAGAGGAAGGAGAGGTAAGAATAAGGGAGATAAGAAGGGAGTGGAAGGAAGAGAGAAGGAAGAGGGAGATAGGGATAGGGATAGGAGTGGGAGTGTTGAGTTGGGATGAGGAGTGGGTAATGATGGTAAGTTATGTATTGGTAATGGTGATAATAATAAAGGGATATGGTAAGAGGATAGGAGAGTATATAGATGAGGAGTGTAGGAGGGAGATAGAGAAGAAGTGGGAGAGATGGGAGGAAAAGAAGAGAAGGGAGGAAGAAGAGGGAGTAAGAGAGGAGATGGAGTTATGGAGGGAAGAGAGTAGAAGGAGGATAGGAGAGATGAAGGAAAGGATGGAAGAGGGAATAAGGAGAAGGATAAGGGAGAAGATAAGAGAGAAGAAGGAGGAGATAGAGAAGATAGAGGGAAGGTTGGAGTTGGAAGAGGAGGAGATAGGAGAGATAGAGTTAGAGGAGGAAGGGATAGAGGAGAAGTTGAGGATATGAGAGAGAAGGCCCTGATCAGAAAGCAGGAGAGGAGACACTAGTGTAGAAGCAAGGAGTGGCACTGCGCACGATTAGCAAGGAGTAAAAGTGTATGATAGAGGGTAAAGTGGGGAGTAACTTAAGTAGGCAAGAGTGATGGCGTCCAAAGCCATTGGTGTAGGTTCAAGTCCTGTCTTCCCAGCCCCAAGAGAGGGGATACGAAGTCAGCGGTGGAGAAGAGAGTAGAAGAAGAAGAAGTAAGAAGAGAGTAAAAGGAAAGGAAGTAAGAGATATGAAGTAAGAAGAGAGTAAAAGGAAAGGAAGTAAAAGATATGGAATCAGAAGAGAAGAATACGAAGTCAGCAGTGAGGAAGAGAGTAAAAGAAGAGGAAAGAAAGTAAGAGATATGGAATCAGAAGAGAGTAAAAGGAAAGGAAGTAAAAGATATGGAATCAGAAGAGAAGAATACGAAGTCAGCGGTGAGGAAGAGAGTAAAAGAAGAGGAGAGGAAGTAAGAGATATGGAATCAGAAGAGAAGAATACGAAGTCAGCAGTGCGGAAGAGAGTAAAAGAAGAGAAAAGGAAGGCAGAGATACGGACTCAGCTGCGGAAGAAGTAAGTAAAGAAGGGAGCGGGTTAAAAAGGGGGGCAAGTAAGAGAGGAGGAGATGTGAGCGGGTTTGCAGTTGTGTTTGTTTGCGGTTCAGTTTGCGGTTCAGTTTGCGTTTAGTGCGCATGTTGTTGTTGGTTGTGTAGTTGTTTTTGTGTTGTAAGTTGGTTTTTGGAGAGAGAGGCGGGGATGAAGAATAACAGATGTTTTGGAGAAGGTGGGGGAGGAGTAAGAAGGATTGATATGGTAGGGTAAAATGAATTAACAAACGTGATAATGTATGAGATTAAGTGATGATGATATAAGGAAGGGTATGGTAGGTGTAAGAGGGATTATGAGGATGAGATAATGTGGTTTAGGTATGAGAGGAGCGGAAAGCGACGGAGAGGTCAGAAAAACGTGATTTTAGAGGGGAAGAGGAGAGTGGTGTGTAGGAAAGGATGTGGAGGAGAGAGGAGTAGGAGGGGGGGGGTGCAGGTGGGTGAAAACCCACGGAGAGGCCGCAAAAACGTGAATTTAGAGGGGTAGAAGTGTGAGGGGTGTAGGAAAGGATGTGTAGGAGGTAAAAGTGTGAATTTGAAAGGAAATGACATAGAAGATGAGGTAGAGTGTGAAAGGAGAGGAGAGAGAGGTAGGAGGGTGAGAGAGGATTAGGAGGGGGACAGAGGAGTGAAAAGCGACGGAGAGGCCAGAAAAACGTGAATTTAGAGGGGTAGAAGTGTGAGGGCTGTAGGAAAGGATGTGGAGGAGAGAAAAGTGTAAATTTGAAAGGAAATGACATAGAAGATGAGGGTGAGAGGGGAGTGAGGGGCCACAGAGTGGCCAGAAAAACGTGATTTTAGAGGTGGGAGAGAGGAGTGAAAAGCGACGGAGAGTGCGGAAAAACGTGATTTTAGAGGGGGAGAAGTGTGAGGGGTGTAGGAAAGGATGTGGAGGAGAGAAAAGTGTAAATTTGGAAGGAAATGACATAGAAGATGAGGGTGAGAGGGGAGTGAGGGGCCACAGAGTGGCCAGAAAAACGTGATTTTAGAGGTGGGAGAGAGGAGTGAAAAGCGACGGAGAGTGCGGAAAAACGTGATTTGAGAGGGTAAGAAGGGTGGGGTATGTAGGAAAGGATGTGTAGGAGGTAAAAGTGTAAAATTGGAAGGAAATGACATAGAAGATGAGGTAGAGAGGGAAGTGAGAAGGAGAGAGGAGTAGAGAGGGTAGAGGTGAGTGAAAACCCACGGAGAGGCCGCAAAAACGTGAATTTAGAGGGGTAGAAGTGTGAGGGGTGTAGGAAAGGATGTGGAGGAGGCAAAAGTGTGAATTTGAAAGGAAATGACATAGAAGATGTGTGTGAAAGGAGAGGAGGGAGGAGATAGGAGGAGTTGAGAAGAGAGAGGAGTGTGGAGTGTGAGGAGTAAAAAGTGAAGGAGAAGGCGAAAAAACGTGAATTTAGAGGGGAGAATGTGGAGTGTGAGATGGAAAGTACATGGTAGAGTAAAAAGTGTGAATTTGGAAGGAAAAGAGATAGAAGAAGGGATAGAGAGAAGTGAAGAGTGATGAGAATATGACTGCATGTTTGGTGAGATACGTTCGAATCGTATGATGCAGGGAGTCCTCGCTTGGGGGGGCGAGGTGTAGAACATGGGGGGGTGTGGGGGAATGTGTGAAGTAGGAAGAGAGAAGATGGGAAGGTGTGTAAGTTATGTGTATGTGTGTATATGTGATAGTGATGAAAGGGAGAGAAGGAAAGGGGGGGGCGGGGGGGGTAAGGATGAAGAGGGAATGTGTAGGTGAGAAGGATATATATGGAATGAGAATAAATATAATATATATATATAAGATATAATACAGAGATAAGATATACATGGAAGGAAGTGAGGGTGCAGCGGGTTTTGGGGGGGCGGGGCTCCATAGACAAGAGAGAAGGGAAGGAAGGGGTCTATGGAGTAGGGGACAAGGGGTTAGGAAGCCCCCCAAAAACCGATGAAGGAGGAGTGGAAGCGGATTCAAAAGAAGAGAAGAAGAGAGGAGCTGCAACGTATTCAACAGAAGAAAAGAAGCAAGTAGAAAGGGTAGAGTAGGATAGAGAGGGAGAGAAATGAAGGGGAAGAAGAGAATGAGAGAAGAGGGTGGTAGGGAAGGGGGCAAGAAAAAGGAACTGAGGAGAAGGAAGAGCGATAAAGGGAGAAGAGGGTGGTGGGAGTGGCAAGAAACAGAAACTGAGATAATGGGGTTAAAAGGAAGTAGTGGATAATATGGGTTAGAAGAGCGATAAAGGGAGAAGAGGGTGGCGGGAGTGGCAAGAAAAAGAAACTGAGATAATGAGGTTAAAAGTAAGGAATGGCCGATATGAAGTTAGAAGAGTGATAAAGGGAGAAGAGGGCGGCGGGAGTGGCAAGAAAAAGAAACTGAGATAATGAGGTTAAAAGTAAGGAATGGATAATATGAGTTGAAGAAAGATAAAGTGTGCAGAGGGCGGAGGGGGTGGTGTAGTTCAAGGGAAGAATAATAGAATCATAATCTGGAGGGTATGGGTTCGAATCCCGTCGCCATCAAGGTAAGGCAGGGTGAGGCCGAAGAGGGAGAGGTATCTGTTTTGGGAATAGAAGAGAGTGTGTTCGAGTCACATCACCCTGAGAAAGAAGAGGAGTAGAAGAAGAGAGGA